TTATATAAGAGAGCTTTATAAACCATCTTGTGTAATCTAAGAGTCATTATATCTTAGTGGAAAAAGTAAGGGAGCTAGATAGATCTGGATTTGAATCCTGATGCTTCCTCATGCTAGCTATGTGACTTAGGGCAAGATAGTTCCTTCCTTGGAGCATCTTTCTTATCTGTAAAATGAGAATGATTGTGTTCTAATATTATAAGGATCAAAATAAGTCAGTACTTGCAAAACACCTATAAGTGCCTGTCTTATGGTGAGTTTTAACAAATATTACTCGTCCTTGTGCGCCAATGTTAATTAACTTCAGTATTAACTTCCACCTTGAAACCTTCTCCTCACTTAGCATCCATGATACACTCTTTCCTAATTCTAACCTCAACTTTACATTCCTTTTGGCCTCTACTATGGATTTATTTTCCTCTGATGGATCTTATTTTTCTTAAATATTGGTACTCTCCAAAAGTTTGTCTTACCATCTTTTCTACTCAATTATCAAGTAATAGCATCCAAATTAAAGGTAAAATCTATTTCTTAATGCCTTCTAATTTCAGTGGTTTCTCCGAGCCCCAGACCTATATTTCAACAACTCTAAATATAACTTTATTGTGTTAGATATCTATTGCTGTGTAATAAATCACCCCAAATATAATGGCTCAAAACAATGTTTATTATTCCACAGTTTCTGTGGGTGTGAATCTGGGTCTGGCTAGCTGGGCCATGTGGTGGCTCATGGTCTTTCATAAGGAGGCAATCAAGGTGTCAGATGTGGCTGCAGTCTCAAATCTCCAAACATACTCATGTGGCTGGATCTTGTCTCTTGTGAGTTATTAGAATGATATCAATTGTTTGCTGGCAATTGGATGGAGGCTTCCCTCAGCTCCTTGCCACACGGGCTTCTCCATAGGACAGCCAACAACACGGTAGCTGGCTTTCCTCAGAGAAAGTTAAGAGAATGAGAGAATAAGCAAGGTGGAGCTCACAGTCTTGTACTTTAATATCTGATGTAATATCCCATTACATTTGCTATGTTCTGGTAGAAGTGAATTGCTAGGTCTAACCATACTCAGGGGGAAGGGGCTGTATATTCCTATGAGGTAGATATCCTCATTTTCAGATGAGAAAAATAATTTAAATACATTGCCCAATACTTGCTAATAATTTTTGGATCTGACTTTTGAAATTTAAATTATTTTTAAAATTTTGTATTTATTTTTAAAATTTTTTGGTGAATAAAAATGTATATATTTAAGGTATATAATGTGACATTTTGATATATGCATACATTGTGAAATGATTACCACAAACTCATTAACAGATCTATCACCTCCTAGTGACTTATTTTTTGTAGTGAGAACATTGAGAGCTTAGCAAATTTCAAGTATACATTATTTTTAATTATAGTTACCAAGCTGTACATTGGGTCTCCAGAATTTATTCGTCTTATAACTGAAATTGATCAATATCTCCCCATTTCCCTCATTCCCCAGTCTCTTGTACCCACCATTCTACTCTCTGTCACTGTGAGTTTGGCTTTTTAAAAAATATATATTCCACATAACAAATATTCATGCAATATTTGTCATTCTTTGTCTGGTTTATTTCACGTAGCATAATGTCTTCCAGTTTCATCCAAGTTGTGGCAAATGGCAGGACCCCCTTCTTTCTCACAGCTGAATTTTATATTTATATATAAAATATTGTCTTGATCTACTGTTGATAGATAGGTAGGTTGTTTCCATGTCTTGGTTACTGTGAATAATATTGCAATGAACTTGGGAGTGCAGTTATCTCTTCAAGATAATGATTTACTTTCTTTTGGTTATATACAAGAGGTAGAATTGCTGGATCATATGGTAGTTCCATTTTAATTTTTTTGAGGAATTTTAATACTGTTTTCCACAATGGCTGCACCAGTTTACATTCCCACCAACCATGCACAAAGGTTCCCTTTACTCCATATCCTTGCCAGCACTTGTCTTTTCATTTTTTGGTAATAGCATCCAAATAGCATCCTGCACTATTCTAACAGATGACAGGTGGTATCTCATTGTGGTATTGATTTGCATTTTCCTGGTGGTTAGTAATGTTGAGCTTCTTTTCATACACCTATTGGCCATTTGCATGTCTTTGGATAAAAGTCTATTCAGGTCCTTTGCCCATTTTTTAAGTTATTCATTTTTTTCCTGTTGAGCTGTATGACTTCTTTATATATTTTGCATATTAACCCTTATCAGATATATGGTTTACAAAATATTTTTTTCACATTCCATAGATAGCCTTTTCATATTATTATTTCCCTACCTGTGCAAAACCTTAGTTGATATAGTTCTCCTTGCTTATTTTTGTTTTGTTATCTGTGCTTTTGGTGTCAATTTTGAAAAATTTTTGCCAAGACTGATGTCAAGGAGGTTTTCCTCTATGTTTTCTTCTAGGAGTTTTACCATTCCATTTCTAATGTTTGTCTTTAATCCATTTTGAATAGATTTTTCTGTATGCTATAAAATAAGGAAGATTTTTTTATTATTTCATGCTAAATGATGACTTAAAAAAAGATTTTATTTATTCATGAGAGACAGAGAGGGAGAGGCAAAGACACAGGCAGAGAGAGAAGCAGGCTCAAGGCAGGGAGCCTTGAGATTCCTGGGAATCCAGTATCACTCCCTGGGCCAAAGGCAGGTACTAAACCACTCAGTCACCCAGTGATCCCTAAATGATGACTTTTGAGAATGTTTTATATATTAATTAATAAATTAATTTTTTATTGGTGTTCAATTTACCAACATACAGAATAACACCCAGTGCTCATCCCGTCAAGTGTCCCCCTCAGTGCCCATCACCCATTCACCCCCACCCCCCGCCCTCCTCCCTTGAGAATGTTTTTTTTTTCCTTGAGAATGTTTTAAAGTCATATTATTTTCAAAGAGCTATTTTCTGCAGCATATATACGCCTATTCATGTATATACAAATTAAGCTGACCCAAAGTTTCGTATGCAAATGTGGACCTAAGAAGAAATAAACTTAGTCTTTGGATCTTAAGTCTCATTTAACTGGATGGCAGCATAGAATATGATTGATGATAATCACTAGTTTTTCTGGCTTTGATTCTACCTCCTTTTTCCTTTCAAATATTTTTAAGATAGACTTGAAGTGAGGCCACATTTGACATTATGGATAATACTGCTTGATTTTTTTATTTTAAAGATTTATTTACTTTAGAGAAAGATAGCAAGCACAGGAAGTAGGAGGAGAGGGGCAGAGTCTGAAGCCAGCTCTGTGCTGAGTATGGAGCCCCAGGAGGGGCTCGATCCCATGACCCCTAGATCGCAACCTGAGTTGAAACCAATAGTTGGTTGGTTGACTGTACCACTCAGGCACCCCAATACTGCTTTTATTTTGACCATGGCTCAATCCCAAGCCATATTTTTAGAACCCACAGCCTGCGTTTAGGCAGAAGAACCTGCCCCTGGATATTTCCAGCCTGGAATGTCATCCGCACGTGCCTTGACAATTGCTTCATGGCAATAGATGCTTAGAAAAATGTCCAGTTGCGTAAATTTCTGATCATGTTGGTAGGAAAACCCTCAATATGGAATTGTTTTGCATACTCTTTCACTTTGCCCCTAGAAAAAATCAATATTAAACTTAGTATATAGGGATGCCTGGGTAGCTCAGCAGTTAAGCATCTGCCTTCAGTTCAGGGCATGATCCTGGAGTCCCAGGATTGAGTCCCACATCGGGCTCCCTGCATGGAGCCTATTTCTCCCTCTACCTATGTCTCTGCCTCTTTCTTTGTGTCTGTCATGAATAAATATATAAAATCTTAAAAAAAAAACAAACAGTGTATAACTGAAATACTTTTTTGGTCACATTCGCCCCCCCCCCCCAATTTTGTGCTTAGTGTTTAAAATATTGGTCATGTCTATTGAATGATCATATATAATATTGAGATAATTTATTAAAATCTCGCGGAATTAAACATCTAATCCTTCAATGGCAATTTAAAATTTAGCCTACACTAAAGTCCACCCTTCACATGCCAGCAAGTTTTGTTCTTTGTGAGAAAAGCTTTCTGAATATAAGTGAAAGTCTCACTCCTCAAAGTTGTGACTTTGTATTCTAATTATTTATAGACTCCTATCTGAACCAGTGGCTTTCTGAGGCAACATTCTGAGAATTATGAGAGCCATTGTTTCAACTGCCTTTGGGCTGATGTCTGGTGGCCACTGTCTTATCACGAAACAAAACTTTGTAGAAAGAGTGTCCAAATAGTCATGTCAGAACTTTCATAGGATTTGAAAGCACCAGTAAAATAATTTGGTCATGTTGGAACCAAGAGAGACTTTTTTCACCAAAGAACTCTTTCAGGAGAATGATGTTGTAGGATAGTGGAAAACCCATAGAATACATTCTCATCTATTGTCACCTGCTCACTATCTTTATGCATCTCCTTGGATAAGCCAATCAAATCTGCTGAGTGTATTTTCTCACTTGTAATATATGAGAGTGAACTATATCATTACTAATATCCTTTGGGTCCCAATTTTCTATGATTCAATGAAGCAAAGCAAAATTAAAACAACTTGTATCCCTCCCTTTTGGCCATCCACACATACATATCCACAGTTGATTTTACATAGATTACGTAAACAATGGAAGGACAATTTTAGGGCCTTTTCACGTTGAAGAAGTTGTATAGTAATGTAAATATAAAAATACTATAGAAATAATGAAAATAAAAACAAACACAAAACACTAAGAATTTAATTTTACTGATATTTCTACTCAGGAAAAGGCTTTTTCATTCTACATAAATTAAGTCAGACCTAAAGACCCAAATCATTTCTCCAAACTAGGACAGAGCATATCTGGCTTTTCACTGGGGAAATCACATCTAAATGCAAATGGAAAGGCTTTTCCATATAGCCACAGCAAAGTCAGAGAAAGAAGGGTATATTCAGATTTCTTGAACTTTAATTCATTCCTTTTACACTCAGTTTGTTTTCTTAGCAAAAGTTTTCTTTGAGTCATTTCACAGTTTGAAAAATAAAAGAGAGAAAATATCTTTCAAAAATATATACTGGCTAATTGTTTGGAACTATCAAATTGCTATACAATAGTCCTGATAGATAAAAATAGATCTGGGCTGTTCCTCAGTTTCTGGAATGCAAAAACATCCACAATATAATTTATCACTGCCTTTAATATGCATATCAAGCTCTTAAAATTTCAGTTGAGTTGCTCCTTTTGCACATAAGCCTAATTTTACCTCCTCAGTGAAATGGTTTAAACACTTTGAGCATTTTCTGCTGAGATGTTGTGAATTGGATATCTTTACTTTGTTAACAAAATATATTAGAAATGAAAAAAATGCTGTAATTTTAACTCAGAGTTATCTTTTTAATACTAATACAGATCAAGTTCACATTGTTAATTGAAGTTTTATTAGACAATAGCCTGAGGACAGTGTTGTAGGAGAGTTTTTTCCCTCTGATATCAACATGCACTCGGTCAAAAAATGTTTCCAAGTATAAAATACTTTCCATATTTTTTAGTTAATTAGCAAACATTTATGACAATTTTAATCCTCTCTTATGGATAGCAAGCAATAATTAAAATGCAATGAGTAACTAACCATTACACAGCTGGTTTTCATCTCAGATAGTCAGTCAAGCAGCCGTTTCATTTACAACATGACATAAAAGGCCAAAAGTCATCTTGTTGACAATCCTATCATATGCGATGGGCTTAGATTTGATTTATCATTCCTAAGACTCTCTCCTGTGAAGTTGCAAAATACTTTCTGCTTAAGAGTGAAAAAGAACATTCTGTTTTTGTGTTTAACAAAAAGAAAGTTGTGTTCTGAAAAAGGAAATTATAATAATAATTGTTTAGGATATCATTTGAAATATTCATACTTGTGTATACACATCATATACAGTCTTTTTTGTGTGTGTATATGTAGCAATTTATATAATATATAATTATATACATGTAAACAACAAATTATATATAAACATTTAATTATTTTTCTATAAAAGTTATTTTCTTCCTTGCTCACACATTCTACTTAGTATTACTTAACCTTACTGATAGAAAGCCTATCTTACCAGAAAGATGACATTTGAAATGAATGGATAAAGAATATGTGGTAGATACATAAAATGGAATATTACTCACTTGTAAAAAAAGAGCAAAATCTTGCCAAGTGCAACAGCATGAATGGACCTAGAGGTATAATGCTAAGTGAAATATGCCAGCCAGAGAAAAATACCATGATTCAATTCATATGCAAAACTTAAGAAACAAAACAAATGAACAAACAAACAAAAAAAGAGAAACAGAAAAACAGACTCTTAACTATAGACAACAAATTGGTTGTTGCCAGAAGGGGTAGGTAGAGGGATGGGTGAAATAGATAAAGGAGATTGAGAGTACACCTATTTTGATGAGCACTGAGAAATGTATAGGATTATTGAGTTACAATATTGTACAACTGAAATTAATATAACACTATATGTTAATTACACTTGAATAAAAACAAAAGATTTATGAAGATGTTTGGTAACATGCTTAATGCAAATCTTCTTGCCCTCATGACAAGAAGTTCTATATCTCTTCAAGTTCTATATGTCTTTCATTTTTTCCTTTTTTAAGAGAAATAATGACATGAATTATTTTTGGTGGCAAATAACTTGCATTACATCACGCATACTTTCATATAACCATGTGATATTGCCAAATGGGAGAATCCTGATACCTACTGCAATAACTTTCCAAATTACTTCCTTGATTTCAGGCACCATGAAAAGCAGAAGGGAAAAAGTAGGTAGGCTGATGCTGAGAACATGGAAAATATAACAGAAACAGGAGAACAAGGATCTAGTAGTAACTCAGACAGGAGCAACATAAACTAATGGATTTTTAAGAGATATTCACAATGACCCTACATCATGGTTCCCTGAACTGAGAATAGCATTCAGAATTTCTGCCTTCTGAACTTTTCTCAATCTTTAAAAGCTAACTCAAGAATCCCTTTCCTTCTTGAAGTCTTAGCTTCCCAATAGTAGATTTATCCCTGTATTTAATCCTGATGCCAAGTCATTCATTGTCAAGAATAATATTACAGTCTGAGATTATTTCATTTCAGAGAAATCATAAAATACATATAAGGTTGTAATAATTTCCTCCTTACCAATGTTGACAGTTACTGAAAATTCAATTAAGTTACATTTCTTATAAAAGCTGAGAAAAGCATTAAGAAAATCTCCTCTGCACCTCTATAGAAATATGTTGACTACTCTAATTTGGCTTGGTTTTGATTTGTTCTGATGGGATTCTGAAAAATGAGTGATAATTTTTAAGGAAGATAATCCTCATTAAAGTCAGAATAAGAAGGAGTCAATTTAAGTTGCAATATGTAATGCTTTGCTAAATATAAGTAGAGAAATATCCTAACTATGAATCTCTGGAGCAGCAAAGAAAGGAGATTGCATGATTATCACTTCTGAAGATGTTTAAGAATATTGATAACATATTTTAGGAATTTAGCTGCCATTTACATAGAAGTATATAGTTTAATGAATATGTTTAAAATAGGGGAAGAGATAAGATAACTTTTTGAAATTACTTTTTGGAGTTAGTTGGTATTGATTTAGGTTTAATTGAGTTGGAAAATACTAGTCTTCCTTTCTATAATTCTATAATAGTTTCTTATTTTTACAATTTTACTAAAAGTCCCAAATAAGTAAACTTACTTAGTACAAGCAGCCCTATTGGTCTCTTGTCCGGAAAACTATCCTGGCATTTCTTGGTATTGCCAATTCCAGAGGATCTCCAATTAAGATTTCTACCCTGGGCAGCTTTCCAAGTGCAACTCCAAAATAAAGCTAGTGTATGGACTTCCTGCACAAATGTCAGACAGTAAATCCAACTGAAAAGTAACAAAGTTGCCTTGGCTAATTGGGCCACACATGCAATTGCTGACAAGTTTTCTCTTCTTCCTGATTCCAAACTTATTTATGAGGATATTGATCATTTTAGAATGATGTTGAATCAGAAAATTAAACGTGGCCTTGAAAGATATTCAGGCTCACTTTTCAGGTAGCCAATATTGCAATAATGTGAACTTTCCGAATGATATTTTGGAATAAACATCTTCTCATCTTCAAATCTTCAGGCAGGATGGTAGGTCAAAAAAAAAAAAAAAAAAGAAAAGAAAAGAAATGAAGGAAAAAACAAAGACGAAAGGAAGGGAAAGAGGGAGGGAGAAAAGGGGGGAGTGAAATCTATCATAGCAACTAAGCCTAATGAGTCATTTGGTTCTTAATGGAACTAAAACTGATTTTTTTTCAGTCAAAATCTAAAGATGAAAAGAAAAAGGTGAGAATAAATGTTTAAAGTAAACAACGTAGGAAGAAGTTACTTCTTTCTGACTTGTCATGGTAAGCCAATATTATGTAATAGCTCCTTGCCAATGTATTTTTCTAAACAGAGAAGACCAAACAAAAATCCTCTGCAAATGTAAGATTGTGGGGGAGGAAAACAATGGAAAACAACATCTTTTATTGGGACTATTATATTTTGTTGCATATTTACCAGATTTCTACAGATGGAATAAAGCTGGCTTTATATTAGAGCCATAAGCCCTTCAACTTTTGATGGTTTCTAGCAGCATATTTCATCAAATGTACTCTCAGACATTCACATAAATTGGGCTTTTATTTCTGTCCTTAAAATTTAAGGCATTTAGGGGGCGACTTGGTGGCTCAGTAAGTCCTTGGGCTCAGGTCATTATCCCAGGGTCTTGGGATCAAGCCCTGGGTCAGGCTCCCTGTTCAGTGGGGTGTCTGCTTCTCCCTCTCCCTCTGCCCCTCCCCTGCTCAGGTTTTCTCTCTCAAATAAAAAAAAAATTAAGTTATTTAGACGCTATAATACAAGATCTACTTTATAAGACAACATGTCAAAGAGGACAATTCCCTTGCCCAATTAATTGTATATTTAACGGTATTTGTTGTTTATTTTATTTTTATAAAAAGTAGAATGTGCATATATATATAAATTATGCAAATAATGGTTTATTTTTAAATATTTTGTAATTAGTGAGATCATATCACATTTGCTAAAAAATGTTAGAAGATCTTTGGCTTTCATTCTTTTCTGTATAATCTCATCCAGCTTTACCAAGTTTCCATTTGCTGGGACCATCTGAGTCTTTTCCTCTTTTTTATTAAAGCAAAAGGAAAGTACCACTCTTGGCAAATACCAGTACCTCTTAATTTTTGACTTTCACTTTTTGGGCATTTCTTCTCCACTTGCATATTCAGTCTATTTCATCAATAGGATCTTCCCTAACAACTTATAAATCAGCTCTGATAATTCATATCTTTTTAAAAAGACAAAACCAAAACTTTCCTTGATTCCATATCCTTTCTGGTCTGCTCTGCCTTTTTTTCCCCTAAGCAACAGAGATTTATTGTGTCATTTCTGGAAGCTAGAAGTCCAAGATCAGGAACAAGCTATCAGCAGGTTTGGTTTCTCTGAGGCCTTCCTGCTTGACTTGTAGACAGCCACTTCCCTCCTGTGTCCCCACATGATCTTTCCTCTGTGTATATCCCTGGTGTCTCTCTGTGTCCAAACTTCCTCTTCTTAAAAGGATGCTGGTCAGTTTGGAGTAGCAACTACCCAAATGGGCTCATTTTAACTTAATCATCTCTTTATTTATCTGTTATTGCTTTATTTTATTTTTTCCAAGCATCTTTTATTTATTTATTTTTTATTAGTTTCAGAGGTAGAGATCAGTGATTCATCAGCTGTATATAACACCCAGGGCTTATTACATCACATGCCCTCCTTAATGTCCATCACCCAATTACCTCTTCTCCCTCCCCTCCTCCCCTCCAGTGACCCTCAATTTGTTTTCTATGATTAAGAGTCTCTTACAGTTTGTCTCTCTCTCTGATTTTGTCTTGTTTTATTTGTTCTTCTCTTCCCTTATGATCTTCTGTTTTGTTTCTTAAATTCCACATATGAGTGAGACCATATGATAATTATCTTTCTCTGATTGACTTATTTCACTTAGCATAATACGCTCTAGTTCCATCCATATTGTTGTAAATGGCAAGATTTCTTTTTTTTTGGTCGCTGAGTAGTATTCCATTGTATATATATATACCTGCTCTACTTTTTTGTTTCTTCCCTGTATAACACAGAGTCTCTCATAAGCATCATCTGCTATACTGTTTCTACCTTCCTACTTATTTTTCCCTTTTTAATTCATATCATTAGGGATTCTCCCCCTACTTTTCAAAAATACAGCTCTTTCTAAAGCCACAGAAGCCTCTATGTACCAAAATGCAATAGCCTTTTAGCCATTAGCACACTATATCTCTTTTTTCTTGTTGTCTAGACACCACATTTTCTTAACTATTGTCTTCTGACCTCTGAAATGTTCCTCTGCAGTTGCTTTGTGCTCCATACATTCATTAAATTTTGGAGTTCTACAGAGGTTGGTCTTGGACTGTCTTCAGTTTTTGTACTAGATTTTCTCACTAGGTGATCCTATCTGTCTCCTTGGTCTTCAATAACATTTCTGTGGTGGCGACTCTCAAATTTGTGCTCCCATTTCAAGCCACTCTTAGAATCTCTAGACCTTTAGTCACTTTCTCCTCGACATCTCATGAATATCAAACAGGCAACTTCAGTTCCTTAACATATCTAAAACTGAACTCTTCATCTTTGAGTCAATCTTCACCTTACACTGCTTCCTTTATCATAGGTAATTAGCATCAAACAACCTAGTGCCTTGAGCCAGAGAACTAGAGGATCTCTGAAATTTCTCTTTGCCTCTCTTCACTTGTTGCATCAAATAAAAAATGGCTCTTCTTTTCCCTGATGATTCCAGTGCTTCTTCAAAAGTATATATGTTTTCTATATACTCTGTGTGATACCAATTGCCACCACTCTCTTGCTTTGACTTACTGTTTCCTCTTTTGTCATCAACCAATTCTCTTCTAACAGTTAAGTTAGCCATGTCCTACACTTATTTTATACACTTTTAAAAATTACTAGCCATTGTAGTAGTTTAGAATGAAACCCCAAATTGTAAACATGCCTGAGCAATGTTCTACATTATCATACCCTGGCCTTTTTCATCAACATGGTCTCATTAGTCCTGATCATTCTATTCCAGCCATGTTGCCTTTTAATTATTTGAATACATTAAATTTTTTCTTAAGTCAATGTCTATATTCCTTCCTATTCTCTGAAAGATCCTTCTTTCCACTTGTTCCTGGCAAATGCTTACTCGTTCTTCAAATACTAGCTTGAAGTTTACTTCTTGAAGTGACCCTTATCATATCTTCCAATCTGAATTAAGTTGCTTCTGTTTTCATATAAATCATTATTATTTTCATTAGTAATTAGTATATCTAAGTCTTTTTTTTTTCTTTTTTCCTACTGTTTCTCTCTTGACTAGATTTTAAGATTCAGGGAAACCCAGACTCTTTTTTTTACCACCGTATATTTATTACTTAGCACAGTCTGGGGTATAGAGTAGTTATTAAATACTGTTAAATGAATAATCTGAATTATTTTTGGTTATTTTGGTAATCCTACGTTCCTTAGTCTTAGTAATAGGATAACACTAGCATTAATACACTGACAATTTATTGTAAGGGTTGAAGTGAAAGAGGATGTGGGAAGACCATATCTGAGAAAATTATCATTTTGTCATCCTCACTCCTTATCTTCTCACCACCAGTACCAGGACTGATACTTTCATTCATATCAGTTTCAACCTTTATGCAAATCAATTCTTGACTACTCATTTCACCAGAAAATTGTGGAAATTCAGGTATTCTAAATTTCAGTTCAGGTTTACTTGAACCCTGTACACCTACAGAAATGAGAGTGGGGGGTATTCAGTGAATATGCAGTTATTGGAATTAATCTAACTTCCATTGTTTGCTAATATTTCATGGACATTAGGACAAATACTCTTAAAAATAACACTTGCTGATCTAGTTCAATTCAATTTAGAAAAGCCACACTATATTTGCTGATAGAGTTCATTTTCTTTCAGGACAAGCACACATTCTTTTTCAACATTTACCTGTAAAAACAAGTTGAAAAAAAGAGACAAATTAAATAAGCTAAAGAAAGTTCACTTGAAAGAGACGTCAATAGACAATTGAAAACACTTCTAATTTAGAGTGGAACCACAGGGAGGCTAAAGAGTTCAGAGAACGGGAATGGCAAAGTGCTATAATATTTTTTGAAGCTTATAAAATACTTATAGAAGAATGAACCTATATAGCAATACACTGCTGATTTACAATACTTTACATGGTGAAAATTACTTTTCTCAATTCTTCAATTTTTTTGCAAGTTGCTTAAATTCTTGTGCAAAAAAAGTATATTTAATATATAATTTGTCTGTTGTTATAACCCATCTAGAATCAATTTGGAAGTAATATAATAGGGTTTAAATATGTCTTTTTTATGGTTTGAATTGTGTCCTACCAAAATACCTATGTTGAAACCCTAATTTCTAGTTCCTCAGAAAGTGAACTTACTTAAAAGTAGAATTGTCGCAGAGATAAATAGTTAAGATAAAATCATATGGAGTATGATGGACCCTTAGGTCAATATGACTGATGTCTTTATAAAAGGGGAAACTTGGACACAAGCACTTACCTAGGGAAGATGCCATATGAAGGTCAGAAGACAGAAATCAAACAAAGAATGCCAAAGATTGTCAGCAAATCACTAGAAGCTAGAAGAGACTAATGGAAAAGATTTTCCTTCATATCTCTCAGAAAGAACCAATCTTGCTGAAACCTTGATTTCAGAATTCCAGCATCTAGAACTGTGAAATGATAAAATATATTATTTAAGCCATGCAGTTTGTGGTACTTTGTTAAAGCAGCCATAGGAAAATAATACAATGTTCAATTTTTTGGACTTAGTTACTCTATTTCTATGAAAACAATCTAGATAGACAATTCTATGCCAAAAAAGAGCAAAAAGAAAGACCATAGATTATTTGTATTGGAAAATTTTTACAACTATGCTGCATCCACACAGTAAAATATTCTAAATAGATTGTAAATGTTTTTGAACAATTTTTAATGACACAGGCAAAAGTTTATTCCATAATACAAAGTCAAAAAAAAAAGCACTGAGACTCATATTTTGTTCAAGATAGAATAACATGGTCTGGATTTACTTTGCTGCCTAAAACAACTAAAATGCCTGAAAGCATATGTACAGTGGTACTCACGTTACAAGATAGCAGGTTATGAAAAATGACGATCCCTGAAAGGTAGGAAGCAAATGAAGTAAGCCTTATGCTTTTCCCCAACTTGCTACCTGGAGAAGGTTTTCAAGCTATGGTTTAGGAAAACAAAATTCAGGCTAAACCTACAGGTTTCTTTAAGTTGAAGAACCCAAACTGGGAGTTTCAGGAAGCCAGACAGATAGTATGTGCATTATAGAGTACCATAGAGGAAAAGTTGCACAGAGAGTCAATACTAAGACTTACAGATGGTCCCTTTCAATGTTCATTTGAGTTCTGATTAGCTCATGCATGCAAGGACTCTTCTAGTACCTGAAGAAAAGAACCATATAAAAACATAGTACTCAGACTGGATAGGATGAGGACTAGTATCTGTTCTCAGAAAGCTTTGAAATATTTAGACTTCATAGATCATCAATTAGAGTACTTTAGAAATGTCTAGTCTTAATAGTGGGAAAAAATTAACTTTATACTAAATTATTACTGGCCCCTAAATTATTACTGAAATATCAAACTGAGTAAGTAAGTTGATAGTGTACAAAAACTAAACATACGAATACTGAGAGAAATGCCAAAAACTCTTTACAAGAGTAAACAATGTCTGATATTTAATCAGAAATTCTTAGGCATTGGAGGACTTCTGGGGAAGATGGTAGAGTAGGAGGATCTTGGGCTTACCTCATCCATAGATACAACTTGATAAAACCACATCAGTGTAAATAACCCAGAAGACAAACTGAAGACAGTAGGACAGACTTCCCACAGTTAATCATAGAGAGGAGGCTACATCAATATGGTAGGAGTCATACTATGCATCTTTTCTGAGCACTAGAAATCACCCACAAGAAAAAATCTGGAAAGAATACAAATATGTGGAGATTAAATAATACACCCAATTAAACAATGGTCAACCAAGAAATCAAAGAGGACATAAAAAAATGCATGGAGATAAATGAAAATAGGAACAAAATAATCTAAAATTTTTGGGATGCCCTAGAAGCTATTCTAAGAAGAAAGTTTATAGTAATATAGGGCTACTTCAAGAAGCAAGAAAAATCTCAAATTAAAAAAATTAAAAATCCTGACAAAAATATTAACAAACTGAATCCAAAAAAAAACCATTAAAAAATCATTCACAAGAATCAAGTGTGATTTATTCCTGGCATGCAAGGATGATTCAAGATTCATAAGTCAATCAATGTGATATATCACATTAATAAAAAAGGTTAAAAACCATATGCACATTTCAATAGATGCAGAAAAATCATTTGACAAATACAATACCCATTCATAATAAAAAACATGCAGCAAAGTAGGTTTAGAGGGAACATACATCACTCAACATAATATGAAAAACCCATAGTTAACATTATACTCAATAATGAAAAACTGAAAGGATGCCCACTCTCACCACTTTTATTCAGCATAGTACTAGAAGTTTTAACAATCGCAATCAGGCAATACAAAGAAATAATTGGTATCCAAATTGATAAGGAAGAAGTAAAACTTTCAGTATTTGCAGATGACATGATACTATATATATATAGAAAACCCTAAGGAGTCCACCAAAAAACTACTATTGCTGATAAATGAATTCAGTGACGTCTCAGGACACAGAGTCAACATATAGAGGTCTATTGCATTTATATACACTAATAATGAAGTAATAGAAAGAGAAATTAAGAAAACAATTCCAGGATGTCTACCTGGCTCAGTCAGGAGAATATGAAACTCTTGATCTTGAGGTTGTGAGTTTGAGCCACACCCTGCATATGGAGGTTACCTAAAAAAACTTGAAAATCACTTTTTTGAAAAAGAAAAAAAAAATCTCATTTATAATTGTCCAAAAACTAATAAAATACCTAGGAATAAACTTAACCAAGGAGGTGAAAGATTTGTACTTTTTAAAACATAAAACATTGATAAATAATCCTGAAGATGACAGAAACAAGTGGAAAGATAGTCCATGCTCATGGATTGGAAGAACAATATTGTTAAAATGTCCATTCTATGGACGTTTAGCAATTGCTATAGACTCCTATAACCATCTGTAGATTTAATGTAATCTTGATCAAAATACAAATACAGCCTTTTTTCACAAAACTAGAACAAATAATCCTAAAATGTGTATGGAACCACAAAAGAATCTAAATAGCCAAAGCAATCTTGAAAAAGAAAAGTAAAGCTGGAGGCATCACAATCCTAGATTTTAAGATATAGTATAAAGCTATGCTAATCAAAACCGATGCACAAAATAGACATACAGATGAATGGAACAGAATAGAGACCCCAGAAGAAAACTTTGGCCCATTAATCTTTGATGAAGGAGGCAAAAATATGCAACGGGGAAAAGACAATCTCTTTAACAAATGGTGTTGGGATCACTGGATACCTACATGCAAAAGAATGAAACTGGACCATTTTTTTACACCATACATAAAAATAGACTCCAAACGGATTAAAGACCTAAATGTGAAACCTGCAACCATAAAAATCCTTGAAGAGAGCACAGGCAGGAATTTCTCTTCCTTCAGCTCTAGCAACATTTTTTTTTCACATATAGCTCCTGTAGCAAGGGAAACAAAAGTTAAAATAAGCCATAGAGACTATATCAAAATATAATCTCCTTCACAGCAAACTATCAACAAAACTAAAAGACAAGGCAGCCCAGGTGGCTCAGCAGTTTAGTGCAACCTTCAGCCCAGGGTGTGATCCTGGAGACCTGGGATTGAGTTCCACGTCAGGCTCCCTGCATGGAACCTGTTTCTCCCTCTGCCTGTGTCTCTGCTTCTCTCTCTCTCTGTGTCTCCCATGAATAGATAAATAAAATCTTTAAAAAAAACTGCTAGAGACACAGGATCCAAAATATATGAAGCATCCAAAATATATACCATCCAAAATATATGAAGAACTTATACAAGTCAACACCAAAAAAGAATAATCCAATTAAGGAATGGGCAGAAAACATGAAGACATTTCTCTAAAGAAGACATACAGATGGCCAGCAAACATGTGAAAAGATGCTCAACATCACTCATTATCAGAAAAATGCAAATCGAATTCACAATGAGCTATCACCTCCTAGCAGTTGAATAGCTAAAATAAAAACACAAGAAACAACAAATGTTGGCAAGGAAGTGGAAAAAATGGAACCCTCATGTACTGTTGGTGGGAATGCAAACTGGTGCAACCACTTTTGATAACAGTATGGAGGTTCCTCAGAAAATTAAAAATAGAATTACCATAGAATCCAGTAATTGCACTACTGCATGTTTTCCCAAAGAAAATGAAAATACTAATTTGAAAAGCTATATACACCCTTATGTTTATAGCATCATTATTTACAATAGCTAAGATATAGAAGCATCCCAAGTGTTTATCCATAGATGAACACACATGAATGGATAAAGATGAGGTGGTATACATATATAAGGGAATACTACTCAGTCAAAAAAAAAAACTAGTCATTTGCAGCAACATGGTTGGATCTAGAGGATATAATACTAAGTGAAATAAGTCAGAGAAAGACAAATATCTTAGTATTTCATGTAAATGTGGAATTTAAGAAACAAAACAAATGAACAAAAAAAGGAGACGAACAAGAAAATAGATTCTTAATCATAGAGAACAAATTGATGGTTACCAGAGAAGAAGGGGTATAGGTGAAATGCATGAAGGGGATTAAGAGTACACTTCTTGTAATGAGCACTAAGTAATGTATATAATTGTTGAATTACTAAATTGTACATATGAAACTAATATAACACTGTATATTAATTATACTGGAATTTAAACAAGCAAACAAACACATAAATAAAAGACATTACTGGGCATTCAAATATGCAGGGAATGGAACTCATAATAGGAAGAGAAACCAATCAATTGAAATGGATCCAGAAATGACACACAGGAGAATATTAGTAAATAAAAATATCAAAATACTTATTATTACTATATTCCATATGTTCAAGAAAGAAGATTGAACTTATTCTGTGGAAATATGTAAAATATATATTTTATGAAATGACCCAAATTGAACTTGTAGAGATGAAAACTATGTTTTATATGAAAAAAATACACTGCCCAGGATAAGTGACATATTAGATACTACAGAAGAAAATATTAATGAACTTGAAGATACAGTAAAAGAAACTAAAATGAAGCTCAGTGAGAAAAAAACTGAGAAAAATTTAAACATGATCAATGAAATGTGGAAGAAATTTGAGAAGTTAAATACATATGTAAGTGGAGTCCTAAAAGAAGAGAAAGGACAGATAGAGGAAATATATTCAAAGAAATAAACACTGAATATTCTCCAAATTCAATTAAAGCTGTGAATGTACAGATCCAAGGATCTATGAATCCTAAGCACAAGAAAGATGAAGAAACTAGGCTACATAATCATCGAATTGCTTAAGACCAGTGAGTTAAAGACAAAACACTTTAAAACAGTGAAACAAAATAAACAGTAGGTACAGTGTGGGTAAATATGGTGATAGCAAATTTCTATTTGGAAACAGAGAGGTAACATCTTATTGCAAAAAAAAAAAAAAAATCCCTGTAAACCTTGAGTTTCACACCCAGCAAAAATATCTTTCAGAAGCAAAGGCAAAATACGTACTCAAACAGTAAAACCTAAAGAAGTCATCACCAACTGAAATGTGCTGCAAATAATGCTAAAGGAAGTCACACAGAAGACAAAGCATATCAGGTGGAAATATGGATCTGTAAAAAGGAAGAAAGAGCAGCAAATGTAGCAATAAGTAAAATTAAAATTTAAAATTTTTCTTTTTTAAATCTTAAAAAATTTTAATTGCTAAAAGATGATAAGGTATTATGAGGTTTTATAACACATAGCTATAAAATGTCTGATAAGAATATTATACAGGCTTGAAGACACGAAATGGAAATGTATTTTTGTAAGGTTCTTATACTATATGTGCAATGGTATATGATCTGGAGGGTAGACAGTGAAAATAAATATACTGTAAACAAGAAAGTAATTAACCAACAAATAACATCCAAAATATTTATACCTAGGTGAGCCAACAAATATAATAATAAGGGATCATAAAATATACTAAATTCAGCCAAAAAAGGCAAAAAATGAGGGAAAACAAAATAACTGTAGTTATAAAACCTGATAGTTGGCTTCCTTTGTAATGCAAGTGCCTGACCTAAGCTTTGATTGTGGAGGCAATCACTTCAAAGAGGAATCCATTTCAAAGAGGCATCTGCTTCAACAGAGTCTATGTGGAATTAACAAGTTGCCAATCATAATTAGATAAAGAGCCAGGCTTCCTTACCCCACTGAGGCTCCTTTGTTTTTGAGATCTTGGTTGATTTCAATAACTGACCATTTGTTTTTTTCTTTTCTCACACTTCAAATATGTGCTTATATTTTATTTTTTAATTTTTTTACTTTAAATTTTATTAGTTAATATACAGTGCAATATTAGTTTCTGGAGTAGAATTCAGTAATTCATCACTTACATTCAACTCCCAGTGCTCATCACAAACGCCTTTTTAATATTGTGTTCTTATGTTTTAAATTTGCCAGTAATGAGTGAGCCCTGGAAACCGACTCTCCACTTCAATGTAAGCAGAACCCTAGGCCTAGTGTGAATCCTTTCTCTCTCTATGGGCTACCTTGCTGTGTGTCCCATTGGCATGCATTGTATGGTCCAGGGCTTATAAGTAATAAACTCTTTTTTTTCTTTTTCTTTTTTTTTTAAGATTTATTTATTTATTTATTTATTTATTTATTTATTTATTCATTCATTCATTCATTCTTGAGAGACATAGACAGAGAGGGGCAGAGACATAGGCAGAGAGAGAAGCAGGCTCCTCACAGGGAGCCTAATGTGGGACTCCATTCCAGATCCTGGGATCACAACCTGAGCAGAAGGCCGGCACCCAACCACTGAGCCACCCAGGTATCTCAAACTCTTTTTTTCTTTAATGTTTCTTAACAATTATTCCTGAAGGTCATCTTGCAATCAAAATATAAACTACAAGGGGTGATGCAGTTGTAATAGTTCTGAAAGGGGATATGTCTGTGTGAAGTTCACAGGGGCTCAGATAAGTGCCTCCAGGCATTTATAGCGATAGTATTTTCTATCGGGAGGCTGAGTCCAGCACAAGACAAAAACATATGGGAGTCATGTTTTTAAGGATAAATGGTAAGTAAGACTATAGACTTACAACTGGTAATATCAACAATCTTTTTAAGTACACATATTAAGTGGTGATAGCATCAAAACAGAAATAGATCAATCAAGTAGAATATAGAGCTGAAAAATATATTACACACTTACAGACAAAACTGTTTTGAGCAAAAGTGCAAAGGAAACTTAGTGGGGGAAAAGATAATCTTTCAACAAATAGTACTATAACAATTGTATATCCTTATGCAAAAACATAAGGAGAAAGATTCAATCCATATCTTGTACCATATGCTAAAATTAACACCAAATGGATCATAGACTGAAAGTCTAAAATTACAAAACTTTTAGAAGAAAACATAGGAGAGAAAAATTTGACCTTGGCTTAGACAAAGATTTCTTAGTTACGACACCTAAGACATTATCTATAAATGAAAAAAAAAATCTGCTAAATTGGATTTCATCAAAATTAGGAACTTCTGGGTTTTTTTTTTTAAGACTCTGTTCAGATAATGAAAAAGTAAACTACATACTTGGAGAAAATATTTGCAAATCAAATGTCTGGAAGAAAATTGTATTCGAAATAGAAAAAGAACTTTCTGATGAGGAAAACAAATGCAAGAGAAATAGAGATAAAATTAAATTTCCTTACAACTTGCAGTCCATTGGATCCCAGAGAGATGCAGTGTGTGACATTTCTCAAGGAACTCATGGTTGCCTTAATGTTGATGTTTTGCTAGAGACAAAAAGCAACCTTACCTTGACACTAACCAGACCTCCAGGATCCTGTAAGTCTTCTTTAACATGTGGAAATCTCTTTAGACTTCTATTATCTTTATCCCACTTCAACTTAAAAATATATGTCACACCTCACAATCACAGTGCAACTCTTTCTGCCAATGGGTCTTGTCCTCATGTTATAATAAAAACACCTTTTTTTGCACCAAAAAGTCTCAAGAACTCTTTCTTGGCTGTTCACTTTGTGGCTCCACATCACTTTCAAAACTCAATAATAAGAAAACAACACATTTGCAAAATGGACAATTTGCCTAGACATTTCATTCAAAATGATAGATCAATGATAATAAAAGGACATGCTCAATACCTTTGGCCATTAGGGAAATTCAAATGAAAGCAATGTAAGATAATACTATGTACTTACTAGAATGCCTGAGTGAAAGCAGCCAGACCCACCACCCACCAAGAGAATACAGAATGCACGTCCTATTTATAGCAGAGTGCACGTTCTATTTATAGCAGAGTGCATGATCCTATTTATACTAGACTCTAGAAAATGCAAGATAAGTTGTAGTGACAGAAAGCAGGTCAGTTGTTGCCTTGTAATGGTAGAAGGGTAGAAGTTTAGGCAGGAGGGATAATAAAAGGGCTTGAGGAATTTGGGGAAGTGCTGCATATGTTCATTATCTTGATTGTGGTGAGGGTTTACCAATGTATCTATCAGAACATCTCAATTGTACACCTTTAACATGTAGTTTATTAAAAGAGCAAAATACAAAATGTTGGCAGTTTAATTCCAATTACATAAAAATGCACTGCACAGCTAGCTAATCACAGGACTACACACAGACACACACAGACTGAAATGAAAATGCTTGAAAATTAACAATGGCATCATGAGTGAACTTTTTCTTTACTACATGGCTGTTAAAATACTTGAAAAATACATACATAATTCTAATCTTTGGAAAAGTAATTTTTATAAGTAAAAAAGTGCCAAGATTTGACTGTGAACTAGCTGTTCTTGCGGGTTTAAAGTACAACTACCTTTACTGTTAAGTTTAAAAAATACCTTCTTTTCTTTCTTTTTTAAAATAGAAAGTTAACAGTAATACAGTTACCCATAAGACAATTCCCTGCAAAGTCAAACACTCAAAGAGTACTAAAACTAGACATTTTTTGTTCAATGTGAGGAAACAAAACTCTGGGTATGTAACAATAACTCAATATGCTTAAGACTGTCCCTGTTGCTCTATCATGGGAAGAAAGAAGCTCTTCTGTTGGCCTTCAAAGACTCTGACAAATTCAGATTTTCATTGTGTAGGCAGATCTACAAAGAAAAAGAAACTTATTTACAGAGACTCATTAACCAGGTGAAAAATAAAAGAAACTGAAGAAAAATGGGAAAACAGAAGAGGAGGCAATAGAACAGTCACCAGTGGCTAGAAGCTTGGCACCTAAAGATGAGGTAGAGATGAAGGAAACACACAGCTGATTTTCTGTTTCATTGATGTATCTTCCATCCTCCACTGACCTTCTCCCCAAGGGCCAGGAGGATAGCATTTAAAACCATTGTCTCTTCCCACAATTCTAGATTCAAACCTTCATTTGACATTTCCTTCTATTCCTAACTTGTTTGCTTCTATGATTCTCCTACTGTACATTTATTTTTTCTAATAACAAGGATCATGTTTTCCTTCTTTGTAACTTACCCTCCTTGCCCTCGATTTGTCATGTAAGAGGGCCTGGAAAAAGTACTTTTCAAACAGTTGGGCTAATGAATAAAGTCAGTGTTCCATTGTGAGATACATTTTCTGTGAGATCTATGGGTCTCCAATTCCTCTGCACAATGTCTCCCACTCTCAACTCTGCAGAAAAGGAGCAGAGATACTAAATGTGTTATTAGTGTGTTGAAAGGCTGGGGATAATTTTGCCTTTCAGTGTCACATAATCATTATATTCCTAGAGGCCCAAGCATATTCCTCACATTCTGCTCTAAAAAATAGCAGAAAGTACAGTATATTTTGAAGCAAAAACATTGAAATGAATAATTTAGAGAATTTAATCATGCAAACTAGCTCATAGAAGAAGCATCAGTGGCTAGAAATCTGGCCACTGAAGAAGAGAGAGAGATGGAAGAAATATGTGGTTCAGATAACGCTAAACAATGGAGGCGTTATTGTACTCTTTCAAAAACAGAGACCCAATTGTTGTGATTCAATTGGAAGGAAGTTTAGTTCACACTCATGCTTCAAAACCAGAGCTGGTTAGCTAAGGGAAAGCTCAGTGTTAGAATCCTTTGTCGTGTTTCTGTTGTAAACTCTGAGAACTCTTTCATAAATTTAAGTGTCAATAAGACTCAGTCTGAAGGAAACTGCAGTCTTCTGTTTTATCAATCTAGATATTTGAATGGAGGCCATATGGTTTGTGTCTCCAACAATGAAGGCAAAATAAGGCATTTAATTTGGTCACAATTTACATCCTCACTCCGCTGATGTCATTCCTATTTAGTGGTAACTATGCTCTAGGTAAAATAAAAAACACTATTATTGGTGTATCAATGCCCTCTCTAGTCAGACACTGATGTGGTTAGGAGACATTAATAAGAATATATCTCAGAAAACAAAACTTACTCCTTAGGGGGCAATTTTTATCCCAGTCCAATTTCTCTTTGAAATTCAGCAATAGTGGATCATCCTTTGCTTGGAGATTTTCTTTCAGTTATACTATAATAAAAAGTAGAATGATTCATTTAAATTCAAAATATCATGGAAGAAATGTAGAAAAACATTTTAATTCCCTTGTT